CAGCAGGAACAGGAGTTGGACTCAACCCTTGCATCTGTGTCAGCTATTTTTGCTCCATACCTCCTCTGGTTTTGTTCCTCCCCCCCTTTCCTTTTCCTGCAAGTGGCAAATATCAACAGTGGAAAACCCAAACCAGTTATCCCTACACTTCCCAATGCCAGGTATTTTTCACAAGCTGTGGTGTGTAGCAGGAGATGCACCCACTGCATAACCTCTCACCACTGCCAGGCCTCTTCAAGGAGCCAGCCAACACTCACACCCACCTCCAGGAACTACAGGGACCCTGGCAAAAGGAGACCAAACATGCTCCCTTTCTTGCTGTTCTCCCCTCAGCAGAGGTTTGGACCAGCACACTGGAAGCTGCAGAATCCCCCACGAGGCCCTGTGGCCCCTTTAGCCAAGGCACAGGTCTACCAAGAACACCAATTAGCAAAACCACGATGGGCAATTTGACCAGTTAGTCCAATTTCACTGGACTGGGCAGTTCTGGCTTTCTTAGTTCAACAGCACTGCAGGCACCAGCCCCCAGGCTGCCCAGGGAGTGGGCAAGGACTGAAACCACTGCAAACTCAAAGCAGCTCATGCGCTCGGGTTTTATCAACATCAAAAGGAAGCCTCTGCTGGGGAGCAACAAGTATGATTGCTCAGTGTATAATTAACAGAGCAGGCAAGTGATTCAGTCTGGCAAAACAGCAGTGTTTGAAAACCAAGGGGATGATAAGTCAGATGGCCGGGCTGCTCTGGCTGTGAATCACTGTGACAAGTTGGGGGGCTGGGTTTTGATCTCAAGCGAGTCCTCCTGCTGCAAACTGGGTGCTCCAGCTGAAGAATGCTCAAAGGATGGCATGGGCAAAGGCTCCTGGAGCCCAGAGACAAGTCCAGAGCCCCCACAGACAACCAACAAGCCAGGATAGCAATGCTACAGCATTTATTTATTCCTCTTGCCACCAGGCTCTTCCTCCAGAAGAAGGCAGTAGTGCCACCCAGGCATTGCACCCCAAGTGGAAAGGCATAACATCACCCTGCCTCACCAACCTCTTCTCAAGGGGATCCCTCATTGCCCTCAGAAGATGAAGGGAGCTCAGCACAACTCTTCTCTTTCCTCAATACTGAGCCTAAATAAATTCCTGGACTACAACAGCTCCTCAGCTGTCACTCACAGTTACAGAGTCCTAAGAGATGCCTTCTCCATGCAACAGAAGTGACTGTACCTCTTGCAAGCATACTAAAGGAATAACCATTTGGCAAGCACCTCTCCTTGCTTGAAGCTTCAGGAGCTGTGGACAAGATCAGCACGGGTACAACTGCAGCTCTACAGACCTCTGCAGAAAGCAGCCAATTTGCACCAGACAGGCTGCTGGGCGTGGGTGTCTGGGTGTTCTCAGATGTCAGAAAGCTCAAGCCATCCCAAGAGCAGCCTTTAATTTTAAACTCTTCCTTAAGATACATCCAAGCCTCCTTTGCTGAGCTCCATGTTCCCTCCTCATATACCATCCAGGAGTGGAAAGCAATTCTGAACCCTCTGAGCTGTGTCCCAACCCTAAAATGCTACAGAGTAACCGGAACAACTAAATACTCACTTAATGGGAAAGATGATGATCCATTTATTTGTCTTTGAAGAGTGACCTACAAGGCATCCCTCAGTTGATATTTCTGAGGTCAACACCAACCTTTCAGCTGCTATCACAGCTGCTGGTTTTAACTCTAGCAGGGTAAGGGAAGGGGTAAGCAAAGCAGAGAGAGGCCTCCAGAGGCACAGCCCCCACTAGGTACCAGCACTGCTAAGAGATTAACTCCAGGTCCTCATGTCCTATTGCTTTAATTTTAAGGAATAAAAAAAACCAACATTTAAGCTTGGCAAACCCTTTCTTGGCTTTTGCAAACTCAGAGCCCTGTCAAAACTACTTGGGATCTGGTTTTCTTCATATGTAGCTCCTAGTGGCAAAGGTTTCCCAGGTCAAGCAGTGCTGGAACGGGTGCTCTGCAGCCACTGCCTGGTCTGGATGCAATTCTGTGCAGCTTTATTAAACAATTTGGCTGACGAGGCACATGCAGGACAGAATCAGCTCATTCCTCCTAAGCCACGGTGGCTTGGCAGAGGAACAAATGAAGAAAC